GCTGAAGGAGGGGACGTACCTGCTTGCACAGTAGCAGAGCAGCCGGGCATCATCTGTCCCTAACTAGTTAATCAAGTTAATTAGCTAATTAGATTATGTATATGAGCAAGGCATACAGCAACTACCTAATCCGGACACTTTCATTGTTATAAAGGGGGGTGCAAAGCAAAGTCCACAATTACTGGCACAAGAATGACTAGATCCTGGATTCACTTAAGAAATTAGTGCTGTTGGGAGTTCAACAGACAACTCCCAGTCCCACTGTGGCGAGAGACATTTGCAATCCAATACTCACGCAGATTTTCAAGTCCTCTCTGATGTGCCTCAGGATTAATAATGGCCTCACAAGCAGCTCGGACAGTCTGGGATCCTCAAAGTTCTCCAGCACGTCAATAACGAGGTGCAGCTCCTCCTTCACCAGGATCATTCTGTCGTGCACCTAGGGAGAGAATGTGCAGGTAAAACAGTGTGTCCAGGGGAGTCGCAGACACGGAGATAAGGAATGTCTGCATTAGCAGCAGCTAGGCGTGGCCTGCTTAGGGAGACTTTCCAAAGCCCTGGCCAATGGGAAGACACCTAAGACGCAGGGGAGGTGTGAATCCACTCTGTACACAGAGCCTGCTTGAACCTTTGGACTCTGTTACTTACACCTTCCTTCCTTGGAATCCAACAACATGTTGTGCTTCAGATCAGTCTCAAACCTTTTTTATATGTTACAACAATCTGAAGACATATTTGGGCAGGGCAAGTATTTTTTATTTTTTTTGCTGGTGATTTGGAGAACGGTTTCTGGGGAACGGTTTCTGGATCTTCCAAGTGGCTGTACATAGATGTGGATATGGTTTTAGAGAACTAAAACATTCTCTGGTGGGAAACCAAAATATAGAAACTGAGGATTTCCTGCCACACGACCTGGAGCTACTTATGTGAAGGAGGTTAACTAAGTTCAGTCTGGAAATAGATGATAAGGACAGGTATGGATGAGTTGCTGGTGAAAAAGCCTTTGGTTTGTTGAGAACTGAGGATAAAGTTAGTATCATTCCTTGTATTAACAGGGAACAGTGATTTCAATTTCTCAGGGCCAAGCTAGAGATGTTGAGATGTAAATTGTTTCCTGGCTCAATTATTTGATACCATCTGAAGCCAGACAATATATTGTTCTGTCTCCTGCCCCTGTTTTTCAGTGGCTTGCTTTATCATATGCTAAATATTGTGCTGCAATATTTAAACTGATTCACAGTCTCAACATTTGTCTGGTTTCCCAGCCCTAAGGATATACAAAATATAGAAATAGAAAAAGGGCCAGATTCCAACCTCAGATGACTCCTGTGTCATTTGGGAATAAATTCCCTGTCCATGTTATGCTGAATCTACAAAAGGATCACCTGAAATCAGCATCCACCTTGGAAAGAGACAGTACTGCAACTTTGGAAAGAAGCAAGTGTTATTTTGTAACTGCATCTCTCTTGGCAGAGGTCTTGCTTACCGACAGCTCTTTGACTTCTCAGTTCCGGTGGAAAATCTTGGTGTTGCATTTTCGGTCTGACAACAGCACGATGTCCTCCTGGAGGCACAAAATGAGAACACGGGGAAATGTGTAAGTGGAGGGAAATCAGGGGAGGAAGTGCCAAATTCTGCCCTCAGTTACATCATATAACCCCATTCAGCCATGCAAAGGTGCCAAATCCTGGCAGAATGTGACTCAACACTTTGATCCCCTAACAATGCTGCTCTCCTAGAGTCCTGGCTCTTTCCAAGAAGGTGCCAAAGACAGGACAGACGTCAATAACACGCTCTTGTCATATTGCTTGGCTGGTTTCAGGTTGTGAACTGCATTTGTGCAGGAGTTTAACTGAGAACCAGCATCCTTTAACTCTTGACACGGAGGATAATTTGACCACTAATCTGAGTGATTGGATCTCTCTAATGCTGCTTGATGGCATGACATGAATTTGGGGTCCTCAGATTGTCTGTTTAAAGGACTAGACCCAGTTTTCTTTGGAAGGGAAAGACTGCAGATAGTTAAAAACTGGGTCTCATTCTCTAGGTTTGATGATAACTCAGGACAGAGTTTGAACCCCCTTCAGAAATTTTTGAGATTTAAGATTAAGGATGGTTGACTCTGTAAGAAATCCGAGCTGGCCAGGTCTTAACGTCCTTAGACTGACTCGGATTAGGAACACCCACTTAGCCAGATTGTCCCTTCTTTCTCTCCTCGCTCTTTTCTAATAGTAAGAATCCTATTCTTTCCCTGCTATTGTCTAATCTGTGATTCTGCCTTAGATCAGTTCCCACCTTCCTGCCCTGTCCATGACTCTGCCTCTCTCCACATCTATGATCCCTATTCCCCATTCCCCACATATCTGAGCTTTGCCCTTTTTTAACTACGACTGAGTGAGGGATCACCAACAAAGAAGATCCAGACAGAGAGACTTCTCTCTATTGTATCTGCAACCCTACACCCCAACCAAATGGGGGGGCAAGTGGGGCAATTTGCCCCAGAGCCCGGGCACTGCATGGGCCCCCACAAGAGTTTTTTGGGGCCCCTGGAGCGGGGTCCTTCACTCGCTCCGGGGCCCCGGAAAACTCTCGTGGGGCCCGGACCCCCAGAGCTTCTTCCGCTCTGGGTCATCGTCGTCAGTTCGGTGATGGGGGATCCTTCCGCCCTGGAACCCGCCGCTGAAGTGCCCTGAAGATCTGCGGCAGGGGTCCTTCCGCCCCGTGACCCACCACTGAAGTACCCTGAAGACGCGCGGCGGGGGTCCTTCCGTCCCGGGACCCGTTGCTGAAGTGCCAGGTCTTTGGTGGCAATTTGGCGGCGGGGGGTCCCGGCCGCTGAAGACCCCAGGCCCCCTGAATCGTCTGGGAGGCCCTGCTCAACCTTACCTAAGCATATGCCTCCCATCTAATTTCATCTGCCCATAGTAATATGCCGAGAAGGCTGCTGTTGAAACTACAGTCTAGCACTCACATTGCCATTATTGCCCCACTTATGTGTCTTCTTTGCAGTTACAAATCTGTCCGTGACATTCTTGAAGGTCTCCAGTTCCTGGGGTGGAAGGGACTTGTATTTTGAGAGGTGGCACTTGTTCATCTGAGCACCTTTGGGAAAGGCCTCAGTAGACACTGCCCATAGGGTCAGGACCAGGAGCAGTTTGCAACTCATCATTTTTCCTACTGAATCAGAAAGGGGAATTCCACGCATCACTCCATTTCCAGGTTACAAGGATTATAAACAGTATTTTTGACAGTCTGACAAAGTGGGGAAAGAAGGGGTGCAGGAAGAAGAGGACTACAATCAAATATATACATTGGTGGGTTGACCCCAAA